ACCTCTTCATTCACCCCAAGCGAGGCCAGCTGCCCCCCTCCTGAACCAGACTGTGTGAGGAGCCCTCACCGCCAGGGGCAGCGCTGCAGACTGCGGTGGCCAGGCTGCCTGGGCTGAGATGTAGGACTGGGGGAGCACTGAAGGGCAGTGGGTGTGCCGTGCTGGAGTGAGAAAGCAGCAGCAGTAGATCTGTGACCCAGGATCTCTGGGATGCGTCAGCCCTCGATCCCCATCACTCTCGCTGCAGCCAGGGGGACGCGCTTCGGTTGCCATTGTGCAGCTGCTGTGGCTGCCGGCTGGGACTGAACTCATGAGCAGCAGAAGCACAAGCCCCCAGCATGGGAGCCAAGAGGGAAACTCCAGGGTTGTGAGTAAGTAGCAAGCTGGTATAGTCACAGGGGTTGGCCACCAGGGGGAGCTGTGATCAGACACCCTATGCCTGTGTTATGTCCCCATCATGGACCGAGGGCATCACATGATCCTAGGTGGGCTAAGCGCCAATAGGCAGCAGGTCCTGACCTGGCGCTAAAGCAACGGGAACTCAGGCATTGCTCCAGTCCCCTGTATCTACCCTGTTGGGGGGCAGAGCCTAAAGAACCTCATCACAAGTGGGACTGGAGACTGGTGGGGGTCAGAACTGTGTGTGGTTCGGAGAATCACATGGATAACCTTCTGTGCCTCCCTGACTTCTCAGTGCCTCACCGGCTCCCCATGGCTTTCCCCACAGGGACAAGGCCAAGGAGCTGTGGCAGAGCATCCACGACCTGGAGGCTGAGAAATTCGAGCTGCAGGAAAAGTTCAAGCGGCAGAAATATGAGGTGAGGGTTGTTCTGACCTCAGCTTCCCCCTGTGGCCCCATCTCTGCCGTGGGGAGGCGGCTGAGGCTATTGTACCCAGCCTGACATCTGTATCACAGGGAAACCTGAGGAAAGCTCCCTCGTTCTCCTGGGCATGGCAGTTGTGGTGAGATTCCCAGTCCCTGTCCCTCAGCTGCATTTGAACTCAGCTCTCCAAAAGTGCAAGGCCAGTGCACCCAGGTGAGCTGAGCCAGACCCTCAGCCCGGTGTAAATTGGCAAAGCGCTCTTGACTCCAGCAGAGTTACACCAGTTTGTGCCAGCTGGGGTTGTGGCCCCAGAGCTCTAGTGAACGCCACGTGAGCATTACAGAACCCCAGCTACCAACACTGCAGAGCAGCCTGCCGGACGTGGACTCCTGTGGATTGTCTAGCCAGCTGGAATCTCTCTAAGCAGCAAACACCCGGCCATCTGTCGGGCCCTCCTGTTCTGTACACTCACAAGCCTCCTAATGGCTGGATTATTTTATGCTTTATCCTCGCACAGCAAACGGATAGCTGAACTGGCTTTGAAAATCATGTCTGTCTATCACATTTCCAGTGCACCCATCACTACACCCAGGGTTTGCTAACATTGTTTCACCATTCATGCGCTTCCTCGGCACAAGCAAAGTCCTCGTGGTTGTGTGCTAAATCCTGTTAGGGCATGGCTGGTGTCTCGCCAAATTTGGCTCTAGCACATGGTTGAGAAGTTGTGCCGATGAAACCACGGTTGAACGTGGCTAACTGTGGCAGCCCAAGCAGGGTGTCTGTAGCTCTAGTTCTTTTTTCTATACGTCTTTGCTTTGGGCTCAGTCCTGTGAAGTGCTTAGGTCCAGATCCTCAAGCACATTTAGATGCCTAACTCCCTTTGAGGATCTGGGCCCGAGTGCCCATGACTTGCAGTGAAGTTGAGAGCCCGTCACAGCATCAGGCCCTCTCTCTGTTAACCTCCCCTCTGAGTGCTTGCTTGTGTCTGCCTTTTAATGGTCTCTTCTCTCTAACTCCACCAGATTGTCACGCTCACTGCTCGCTGTGATGAGCTAAGCAAGTAGTAAGTACCGCCCGGCCCACTGCCGGCAGCTTCCTGCCTGGGTTTGTGCTTGACATGCTGGCCGACTGAGAGGGAGCAGACAGTTCTGCTGGCATAGGGAAGAGCACAAGCAGAGATCTGTGTCCATGAGGCATAGATCCAGGTGGGATGGATTAAGGTGGAGGTCTACTTAGGGGGTAGGTAACAAATGAATAGATGGGAAGGTGAGTGAGTGAGAACATAGGAATTGCCAGCCCAGATCAGCCCCCATTCCCCTATCTAGTACAGTCTCCTGACAGTGGCCAGAACCTGCTGCAACACAGAAAGGTGCAAGTAATGTTGCAATAAAACATCCTGCCCATAGAGGGAGATTCCTCCTGACCCTTATCAGCTCATGCCCTGAAGCATGACCATGTCTGAACCCTTTTTTGAAACCTGTTTATGAAGGACAGAGGGGTGAAAAAAATGGGGAGTGCTCTACATTAAAGACCCCATTACCTGTTTTAGAGCTATTGGTAACTCAGAAGTGCAGGATCTTGAATATATATGGATCAATCTGCTAGTAAACAAAGCCCCAGGACAGGGTACTGGTGGGGGGTCTTTTATAGACTACTGAATCAATCCAAAGGACAGGATCAGTTACTCCTTAATTACCTGGCTGTAATGTGTGGAAAGAAACATTGTGGCATTATGGGGACTTCTGTTTGAGAGACATTCAGTGATGGTCTCCTGTAGCCAACAGAAAAACATTAGAATTTCTAAAAATTATAGATGGTGGATTTTCTAATACAGATATTGAACCCAGCACAAGGCAGCTCCATTTTGACCATCATTCTAAAGATTAATTAATCACTGGATGGGGAGTTGGTGGTTGCCTTGATTCATAGATTCCAAGGCCTCCTGTAAAACAGAGGCCAGAGAACTGCCCCAAAATAGTTCCTCCAGCAGACCTTTTAGAAAAACATCCAAGCTTAATTTTAAAATTGTCAGTGATGTAGAATCAACCACAACCCTTGATAAATTGTTTCAATGGTTAATTACTGTCTCCAGTATAAATTTACATTTCCAAGCTTAATTTGTCAGTATGGACACACAGTATCCAAACCGCTAATATATAAACTTGGTGCTTCAAAAGGGCTAATTTCCCAAAGCTGATGAAAGTTTTATGAGTGAAATTGAAACAGGGGCGGGGGGAGGGGGGATTTAGATAGAAAAACATGAATAAAAATTGGGATTTCTTAAACAAGAGCTGAGTAGATTGTCATCATTGTATAATTCAGAAATAGGACAACTTTGCATAAAAGTCCATCCTGGTTCAGTGGAGAATTGAAGACATTAATTTAGAAATAAATACAAATCAAATGGGGGAGGGGAGAAAGAGGAGGAATAGATCACAAGCAATATAAATGAGTGGTTATGAAGTGTAGAAAATTGATAAGAGAAGCAAAAGACATCAAGTAAAATGTCATGGCTGGCAGGTCTAAGGACAATAAAGAGGAGTTTTTATAAGCATGTACAAAAGAAATCCTAACAATAGTATAAGCCCATTAGTAATGGTGATGGTAAAATTGTTAATGAGGCAGCAAAGGCAGAAGTGTTCAATAAATATTTCTGTTCTGTATTTGGAAAGAAGCAGGTTGATGTACTCATCAGATGAGGATGAGGAATTACTGAGGAGGATGTTAAACAGTATCTGCTAATTTTTAAATCAGCAGGCCTGGATAACTTGCACCCAAAAGTCCTAAAAGAGTTGTCTGAGAAGATCTCTGGCCCATTGATGTTAATTTTGAATAAATCATGCAATATCTGGGAAATCTCTTAATACCCTTAAAATCTCTGAATCTAATATAACTCTAGATGTTCCCATTATAGTTATCTATATAAAGGTCACATCCTTGTTTTTGCTCTTAAAACCAAATTATCAAAAGTGGCCACTGACATTGGGTGTTTCCATTTTGGGGAACTTGAGTTGAGATGCCTTGTGGCCAAAACAAGTAGCCACTTCTGAAGATGTTGGCTTCATCCTCTCTGATATGTGTCAGGGTGAATCAGGAGGTGGGTGTGTGAGTGGATATAGTTGTGTAGTGGTGTGTGTGTGTGGGGCGGGTAGTTGTGCAGAGTAAGGACTGATTTGGGCTATTGCCTTCCTCGGGTCCAGGTGGGCCTGGATGCTGTCTGCTCTCTCTCTGCCTCTCTGTGAAGTGTGTTTGAACCTTGCTTGGCTTGCAATGCCACCTAGGACCTTGACTTACTCAGTAAGGGAAGCCATGCATCCCTTGCCATGGGGCATGTCTGGATAAGTACACAAGCCCTCTCTAGACTGTTGATGAGCAATAACTGTCCTGTCCTTCCTGTCCCTGTGCTTGGAGCACAAACGGAGTCAGCAGTTTTGGATCTTCATTAGCCAACCAGCCAATGTTCCTAGCCAGCCATCTATGGATTTGCTTTCCAGTTGGTGACAGCCCACACCAGCCATCCCCCTTCCCTTCCCCCTTCCACATCCACACTTGGTCTCTACAAGCAGGATACATAGGACCTATGTGTGAGGCTGGAGATGCACAGTGCTATAGCAAGTTTGCACAGGAGACATCAGATCACGTAGCCCAGGTACCATAGACACGGAGCCCATGTCCTGTCATTCGTGGGAGCCCTGGCAGGATGGCTGCTGCCCCCTCTAGGCACAGCCGAGAACTGCTGTTGTTTGCTCCATACCATGATGGAGGTAGGGCTCTACCATTCATCTCTATGCAGAAGGTGTTGTTCTGTGGCTGGCCTGGAGGGGCTGGTCATACAGGAGAGAAGCATGGTGAAGAACACTTGCAGAGGCTTGGCCTTGTGAAAGAATCTCCTTCAGTTCCTCTACGGAAGGCAGGCAGTTAGTGACTCTCACCCGATGCCACTGAGAACAGCTATGTGGGCTGCTCTCTGCATTCCCATGCACTGGTTGAAAGTGCCGTTGGCAGCAGAAGAGAGCCAGGACTGGTCCGTGATGAGAAGAAAGGGGATTCTCTAATGGAGCTGCAGGTCACAGACCCACCCTGTGGTTCTCTAGCTCCCAGCCTGACTTAACGCAGCCTGCGCTACCCAGCATCGCCTCCAGGGTCTCCCTATGTCCTGACCTGGACTAAGCAGAAGCTGTGGACTGCACTACATGGCCAGGCCACTCTAGAGAGTCAATTAGGGGAGACTATTTCCTGCTCTGTCTTCTGCTGCCCTTTGGCAGCCCTCTGCCCAATTCAAGGTGTCAGCCCCACCTCACTGTCCTTCTGTATTTCTTTTGCAGATTAACGTTCTCCGAAACCGCATTAGTGATCACCAGAAGGTGTAAGTACCAGGGCTGCCTTCTGCCTCCCCGGCTCCCTTCCTGCCCCCCCTCTTTCACCACTCTCCTGCTCTGCTCTCTGCCTTTCCCCTCTGGTTGCCTCCATGGCTCTCAGCTCTCCCCTCCCCTCTCTGCTTCCTCTCCCTCCCTATCTCTCCTTGTCTGTATTTTGTTCCTTCACCCCATCCTCTGCCTTCCCTGCTCACCCCGTTGCTACTGCACATTCACAGGCACACAGAGAAGATCCAGAGCCAGTGTTTTTATCCTGCTGGTGCTTTCATCCTTCCTCTTCTCCTCTGCTCTTGCATACACATTTCCCTGTTCTTCCTTTGGCTGCCTTCTTCCTCTGCTTCTCTAACCCATCAAACCCCTCCCCCTTCTTTTCCTCTAACCTCCCTGTCTCCATGTCATTTCCCCTTTGCATCACTTCTCCCTTAATCTGGCACAGGGTGAGCCACATCCACCTCTAGTGGCTGGCCCACGGAGAAGATGACAACCTACTCTTGCTGAGACTCCTTTAGCTCAAGTGTCAGCAGTGGGTGCTGGGTTCAAACCCTGATGATGTGGTCATAAGCCTCTGCTACTGGCCTCCCTTGTCATGATCCTGTATCAGATATTGACTGGCTACAG